AAAAAAAAAAAAAAAAAAAAAAAAAAAAAAAAGAACTTACCTAGGCTTCAACTTCTCAGCCTTCCTCTCTTCCGAGTTCTCCCAAAAGATTCTGTCCACCGCGATGTCACACGTCTCACGCATGATATCCAATTCATTTTCATCATCCCTCACTTCCTTCAGCAACTCCAAGCTGCTAGTAAAGCCCAGCGCACCAAGAGCCTCCGCAGCCTCATGGCGACACATTGCATCCTCCTTGGTATTCCTCACAGCATCCTCGAGGTAGGACACAGAATCCGGGTTACGGGTCTGTCCCAGGCAGTACGCAAGCTCATGCTTGAGCAATTCGGACGAGGAGGAGCTGAGAGCAGCCGCGATGGCTTCGATCGCGGGAAATGTCTGCTCCGTCGGGGGCTGCAGGCAGGCAAGATGCTTGAGGGAGAAGAGGGCGCGGAATCGGCGGGCTAACGGCTCCAATTCGGAGGTAATGACTTTGCGGAGAGTGCTGACGGTGTCGTTGGACGCCATTTTGGGTATTAGGGTATTAGTATTCTTGGTCTGGGGAAGATGCGAAGGGGAATGTGCGGAAGAAGTTTTGATCTTATCTCGCGCTGTGATAATAATTTTTAGGTGGGGTGGCGGGGCAGGTTTGCGACGGGCTGAAAAAAATTTAAAAAAAAAATTAAATCAAATTCGGCCATGCGTTTACAGGGGTATGCTCTGCTGTATTAATGTAGAAACAAATTATTAAGTACTCTGGTTGCAAATAGCAAAATTCTGACATCTGTACTCTAAATGCTCTTGATTTATAAATATTGATATGATAAACTATGCTGTATCGAGAGTGCATGCATATGTATAGTTTCGCGAGATCTTCTGCTCAACCATATTTAGAATCTTGAAATTTACATCGTTGTCCTATAGGGCATCATCATTTGGTGGGCTTTTTCTTTTTCCTTTCCTTTTTTTTTTTTTTTTTTTTTTTTTTTTTTTTGTGAAAAAAATATATATATATATTGGCTGCGCAGCATGGTTGTTTAAGGCGGTGATATATAATATATGTGTGGCTACAGGCACAACATCCCTCAAACAACAGAGAATACTAAAAAATATACATCAAACTGCAAACTATATCTAGGATATAGATCGTGCCACTGGAATCGCTTCTTACTCCACTACGCTTCCCATACAGTACAGATATGTAGGGATATAGTAAAATACACATCAGACTGTTGCTTGAAGCATATCGACGGGTCTTCCCCAATTTTTATACTACGAGATGGGTGTTTATTCCTAGGAAGCGAAAAGTACAAAGAAAACAAATTGAAGCGTATGGGCTGCACATTGCTTTTCATACTTAATGAACCCAGACATGATATTTGAGCATATTGGATCAGCTGGTTAAATATTCGTAGGATACGAAGCATGATTGTCCGACCGACTTTGGAATACAGCTGCTGGGCTCAAGATATACCCACAGGGAATAATAGCTATTCGGATCTCCGTTCTCTTTGACTCTAGAGGCATGCAATCTTCGTTGCTTCTGTGCCTCCTTCCGTGGTTCCCAATCTCCATCAGCAGCTACTCGACAAACAAACTAACATTAATTTACCTTTTTGGCCGCAAATCTAGAGGATGATCAATTCATTTTGCCGGAAATATCTCAAACGAAAGCACAAGCATGGTTATGTACATGGCACAGTAAAGGAGACTCGATTATTTGGTCTTGATGTGCTTGAGCTTGCCCGGCGAGTGCGAGAAGTTGTTCGCGTAGGACTTAGGAACGAACCGGCGGTCATTAGGCTCCTGCACGAAGTATTCATAGCCCTGCTTCTGAGCAAACTTAATGGCATCGTCCCTGGTCTTGAACTTCAAATGGGTACCCTGCATGCCATCTGCAGACGACTGCCACCCCATAAGTGGGTTCTCCCACCGATGACCCCTTTGCAAAATATCCCAATCCATTCGCCAGTGGTGGCTATGCCAGTTTCCGGACTGTGTAGCAGGCTTCGTGGGGCGATAGATTCTGTGAAGCGCGTTGTTAGCTTGCATGAAAAAGACGTATGTTCCTGGGCGTGGGAATGAACATACCTGACAGTCCGAGCCTGAAGGTCCGTGGGGGCACCGGAGAGGATAGCAGCAGGAACGGTCTCACCGGGTTCGCTGCCGTCCATCACACGCTTGGGCACAGGGGAGAATTGCCTGAAGAGATACTGTCAGCCACGCATTCTCGGGCTTTCGGGCGACAAGAATCGGGGCCCTTACGAGGTGCCGTGATCAATGGTAGCTTCATAATCCGGCTGGTGACGGGCCATCGCTTCAGCAGGGGTCTCCTGGTTGATCAACGAACTCTCCTTGGGAGGGACAGTCGGCGCGGCGGAAGGACTCGTCTTGACAGGCGGATCACCGGGGACACGAGAGACGTTCGAAGTAAAACGGGCATTGATGGGGGCGACAACCCTGCCCGCCCTGAAGCAGGCAGTGCTTCCTGCTCGGATAAACGACATTGTGGTTGAATATGACCGACGTTAGTGTGGGCAGAACTGACTGCAATTACGGCGGAAGAGGTATGCGGCGAGGTCCGGTCGTCAAGGCGAGTCCAAATTGGGTTTAGCGCGTTCTGAGGCTCCCTTGTGCTAGGAACCGCTCATCCGACAACCCGCTTTTGCCGTCACTTTCCTCCCCTCTGCTATCGTCAACGCTCCTGATTCAGCAGTTCGAATCAAGGTTAGTTTAACTTTGACGATGCACTTTGGCCTTGTATTAATCAAATTGGTGCGAAAATGGTTCTAACATCGTCCAGTTTGCCCAAGATGAGCTACATCGCCCGCCGCGGTCTCTCGACCTTGATCCCTCCCAAGGTAAGACAACCACCGCAAATATGCGACAAGAGAGATTGGAATCTTTTCATGACAGAGACTAACTACCATTAGATCGCTTCTCCCAATGTGAGCCAGCCCAGTTACCCTCGATAATCCTCCGGGACGCACCCCCGCAGAATTGTTTCCCGTCCTTTCCCACACTCCGAAATTCAATATTATACACCCGCTCATTGCAATAACTGACATTGGAGAAAAGGCGATTGGTGCCGCTCAGGATGCTGCCCGTATGGAGCGTGTCGTGAACTTCTACGCCCGCCTCCCCCGTGGCGCTGCTCCTGAGGTCAAGCCTACCGGCCTCATTGGACGCTACCAGGCCCGCTACTTCAGCGGCAAGAACGCCTCTGCTGCGCGTAAGTCACTGGAATATTCTGATATGATGTGTGTATGATTTTTGACCGGTTGGATAGCCCTTGCCCACGCCATCGGTGGTATCCTGATCATCGGATACAGCATGGAGTACTACTTCCACCTCCGTATGTTACCCTCTTGATTTACTACAGTGAGATAATACGGAACAGCTGCTAATGAAATATCAGGTCACCACAAGAACCACCCTCACTAAACTTTTCAATTTTGACGTTTGCCAGGTGTGGTGGATTTGATGTATATAACACCAAGCCTTGAATCAAGCCATGTAGAGGAGGAATCACCTCATGTCTCATTATTCCTATGTCACGAGGGTTGATTACAGAAAGAATTACCCGTAGCTTGTCGGTCATCTTACCCTTCCATATGTTGCCGAAATGTGTGTTCGCGGTGGTCATAGGAGAATTACACACAACCACCGCCAGAGAAAAAGCGAAAAAAAATTATACAGACAGAAGCTCCTCACCCTGTAGAGTAAAGACCGTCCGTCGTCACTTCTCTTTAATGGCAATCAGTCAACGGGCAGCAGCATCCGTTGCAAACACCACCAGCCACAAAGGGTTTTGGCTTCTTTTTACTACTCTTGGGTCCCACGCTAACCGAATGCAGCCACCTCAGCTTCGCCCGGGAACCGTCACCCCATTCATTCACTATTACTGCCCGCTCATCCAACCCTCCCCTCCATCCCAGAGGATTCTTTGATTTCTTCTTCCTTCTGGTCTTTCCTTTTTCCCTTTCTCCTCCGCTCGCATATTTCTCGCCAGTCCGACTTACGCGGGACTTTCACCACTACCCGTTATTAACTCCTCAACTCGAGTTGAGCGCTTTCTGCCGTCATTCGGAGATTTAGACCACCCCCTCCCCCAGGGCTCAAAACCGTTTGAGCTAGCTAGCACTTTCAACCGTGGCGATTTTCGATACCTGACCATAGGTATTTAGATCACTTTCTTCATGTCTCTATCTATGCTATAGCCACCATCGTTTTCCGTTCACCATTTCAGAGCGCTTTGTCTAACAGATGTCGCAATCTGTCGACCCTGCAGACTCGAGAATTGTTATGGCAGAGCAGAACGGCCACGATGTGGTAAATCGAACCCTGTCGGGCGGCGAGCCTTCGCCTTCCGGCGTTCCTGCGAGCACCAACGACAAGACACCTGCTGGAGGGGACGTGGGGGAGATCAAAGATACCGCAACGACAACGCAACCCGACACAAGAACAAACGCTCAGGAGAAATATGGGGAGAGAAACGTTGGTGATTCACTACAATACCAGAAGGACGTGGAGAGAAATAGTGGGGCTTCAACGACAACTGTGAGATCTGCAGCCTGATGAGTTGCGTTTTCCCAGCTGCTAAACCATAACTTAGGAGACAAGCAAGCAGGGCCCGGGACCGGTCGCATCAAGAGCACTCGAAATGAGCGGACAAACGGCTTCATCGGACGGCGGAGACGATACAGGCTCACAAGGCGGTTCAGAATCTGATGCTAGTCGAGCGGATAAGCCCTCGCGCGTTGGGTCAGTGAAAAAGCCAGCATCATTCAAGCCAGTTTCCTTTGCGAAATTCTCCGTTCCAAAAGCACCAGGCGCCCCGGCCGCACCTAAAGCCCCCGAGAGAGGTAATCATTGCCTTGCCATATTTCCCATAAAGCGAACTATTTTCTAACTGCCAGATAATATAGCGCCATTATCTACAGCTACGCCGTTGGGTGTTCCGCAGCAAACCTCACGACCGCGTTTGGTCGCAAAGTCAACCAGCCTCCGAGATTCATTAACCAAAACTGGAACAGGTGCAGCGAAGCCGGGTGGAGGCGGGCCTGATCCGAATCAAGTCTGGAATAGGAATCGACGTAAGCCATCAACAACGACCGACACCCCTTTTCTAATGAATAGTGATCGCTGACTCTCACGCGCACAGCGGCCCAACCTCCGCCTTCGAAGCACTTGACCGACGAAGAACTGAAGCAACAATATGGAATTCACTTGACGTCGCGTATTCAGGAGGATGCTGGCGCAACAGAGGGCAAGTGGGCCGATATCGAAGACGATGAAGATGACTGGGCTCCGGAAACAATAGAATGGACGGATGGGACGAAGACAAATCTTAACAATGCAGAACCACCACAACCCGGACCAGAAGCCCAACCCCCACCGGAGCCAAAGGAACCTCTTCCTCGAGTAGAGCAACCTTCACCCTTGAAGGAGACCGCGAGACCTGTTCCGAAACCCACGACATCTATCGGACCGAACCCTACTGTACTCCGACTTGGAGCAAACGCCGAAAAACAAGCAAGGAGTGCGAGTATTTCGTCCAAAGGCATTCACGACAAGTTGACCTCTTCATCGACAGCCCCGCCCCCAACAAAATCACCATGGGCACCCCTACCGCCTGTCGAGAAGGTATCTCCTGTCGTTCCGCCTGTCCAACTTCAGCCGCCATCCCGAATTCCGAATAGGGAACCCCCAGTTAGTGATGGCCCTAGTGGACCTGCAACTGGCAGGCTTTCGCCTAGTGGTTTCTTGCAGCCGAGAGAGATCGCAGCGGATGATTTTAACCGAGCATGGAAGGATTCACAAGGAGCGCCCCGGGAGCTCTACAACTCTAGGTCAGGCCGTTATGAACCTGTCTCCGAAACCAGAAGGGGGGCTTGGCGAAACGAACAAACAGTTCGTGGTCCGTCAGTCTTACAGAGACCGGCCCCGGGAGAGCAAACGGGGCCTGCAGAGCCTTCAGCAGCTTTCCAGACTCACAGGGCCGCTGGCCAAGATGGTGCGCACTGGACGCGTCGACGCACATCCTCCAATGTTAGTGGAGGAAGTGGGAGTTTTGCGCGCCGAATGTCAGTTGGTCGGCCTGATGTGACCCAGCGAGCCTTGGAAGGCAGAAGAGGGTCACAGGTAAACGGAATGATCGAACCGCAGCCGCCGAACCGAGAGTTGCCGGTACCGAAAGGAGCGCAATTACGAGATGTCTCACCTGGTCGACAGGCATCTGGATCGGCTTGGTCGACTCAAGCTCCCGCTACCATCAATGACATGCCTGCGCCCGCAGTTAGCGGTGCGCCTCAGCAGCCGCAACCACAGGCTCCCTCAGGAGAACAATCCGCAGCACCGCAGGTTCCCCAGGAGGACCCAGTTGCTATGCAAGAGCGTATCATGAAAGAAAAGAGAATGGAAGCCCGACAACGGAGGATTGAACAGGAGGAGAAAGAAGAGGCCGCAAAGCGTGAACGAATTCGTCAGAAGCTTGACGCTCTGGGACCAGCGCCCGAGAAGGCAAAGCGTAAAGAATCCATCGATGCTAGTCAAGCTGAACCGACTGCAGTATCCTCTCATTCTCCGCCCAAGCCTCCGGTGCCCGAGCCGACTGGCGAGCCAAAACAATATGGAATGATGAAGGTGCATCACCCCGAGTCGGTGAAGAAGCTCGTCGCTGCAAATGAGAGAGAACGAACCGCCGAGAGACCGCCACCAACAAGCATTGCAAAACGGATTCCTTCACCAGCTCGCGAGCCACAACAGGATGCGCCTGCAGTAAATGGACTTGATAAACCCATAGAGTTTCAACCACAAATCCCAGCCAAGCATACTGAACCTCAGGTCGATGAACAGGGCCCTCAATGGAGAAACAATCTTCATGTTTCAAACTCATATTCTCCGTGGTCCCCGAGTAATCAATTTATCAGGTCCCCTCCTTCCCTTACAAACCCTTGGAAACCATTGAGCAATGATAAGACTTTGGGCAACGGAATATTTGACCCAAGTTTAGGAGGCTTCCCTGCGAAAGATCTTACCCCTTTGCGGGGTCCTCTAAGCCTGGACCAACCGCCAATCGTGTCTGCCTCTCAGCCATTCTCTGCTCCTCCGGAAACCGCATCGATATCTCCTCTGCCTTCGCCAGAGGTAAAGAATACACCCTATGATCCCCTGGGTGCTCTTGGTCACCCGGGGCCTATCGGACCTCCAAGCTCGCAACAACCTCACTGGCCACATGAGCCTCGCGTTACTGGACCGGCAGCATGGAATAATTTCCAGGCTGTTGCAGCCAAACGTGAAGCTGAAGAAAACGAGAAACGCCGGAATGAGATGAATACATTCCGCGACGGGCCGTCTTCCCTTCAGGTCAATTTCAATGAAACATGGCGTCAAGTCCGGACCGGCGACCAGGTTGGACACAGGCAGCTTGTTGGAATTACGACGAGATCAGCGGAACCGGCTATACCGGCACCGAATCCTTTACCTGGTCTTGATAATGTTGGTGGTCTTCCCTTCCCTGACAGCCATGCACGCCCATTTGTTATGCCTCGTAGCTCGCGGTTCTTCCCTCATGCAACGGAACAGTTCAAGAAACCAGCTGTTGAAGAAGAATTTTCCAGAAGCCCTTCGCCTCCGCCACCAGAGGAGATTTGGAGTCATCCTGTCTTTGCAAGTGATTCGAACAGGCCTTTGGTTCATCTCCCTGCACCCAAACCTGTTGTCAAACTGCCGCCAAAGGCCGTGGCTCCCCCTCCTGCTCCTCCAACTTTTGCTTCTATGGTGGCAGCACCGCCGCGAAACCCGCCACCCATCCCAACAGCAACGAGCTGGCAGGAGAAGATTAACGGTCTTTTTGGCAAGAAGACGACTCCTGAGAAGAGGAATGCGTTGGCAGTTACATCAGCCACAAAAGAGCCTCTAGATGTTCCCTCGCAGATCGCAGCTGTTTCAGTTTCTCTGCCTCACGCTGTTGAGGTTGAGGTTGGTGTTGGCCGTGAGATTGAAGACGGAATCTTTACTGCTAAGCAAGTCGAGGAAGCAGAGGGAATTTTTGAAGACCGTGAGATCGGTTCTCTGCCCGTCGTGAGGGTACCCAACATGGCACCTCCAGCTGCTTGGCGTGCTGCACCGCCGCCGCCAGCACAGTCCCGGCCGAAACCGAAGAGTTTTCTGCAGGTCCATAGTGTTGAGCCGTACCTTTTCGGATTTCAAGACAAAGATTCCTCTGGCAATATTCGGGTTTCCATTCGTTTCCCTGGAGCTGATGCCCCGAAGGTTTTGATACTTCCTAAAAAGGCAAGCAGTCATAATCCTCGGCACCGTGGCCTATCGAGTTTCAAACTTCGCAAGGGTGGCAAAGTGCGAGAACGGCCTGTAAACGTCAATCCGAAGAAGTCAGCTCCATCTCAACAAAGCAGTGAGAATGTAGCTTCTCCGCGGCAGCCACGAAATGGAAATTGGGGGCGCACATCGAATGCTCCTCGTCAGGCCGCCGCATGAGTGTGTTGATTTACAGCAGAGCGTGAAGTGAGGAAAAAAAGACATTGTCAAGTTATTGCTCTACGGTTGGAGTTGACTATCTTCGGATTTCGGGTAACTGTTGAGCGTTTCACTTCGTTATTCCAAGGAATTGAGCCGTTTCTTTTCATGCTTTACTCCCATCCTCTTGTTAACATCCGGATGGAGCCTCTTTAAGAGTTTGAGCTGCCACATCCGTTCCAGCCTCTTTTCTCACAAAATCCCATCACCTTCTCTCTCTCTACTTGAACTTGAATCATTACACACCTACCCTTCTATTATCCCTTACCTTATCAATCAATCTGTTCATCTATCGCCTTCCTGGGTGCTCGTCAGGTACGGGAGCCTGTGAGCCCTAGTATGTATGTATCCCTTTTTCGCTTCACTTTCACATCTTTTTTTTTTTTTATTTTATTACTTGTGTTTTGCCGGGGATTGTTAGCAGGAATTGTTCGCAGGAAATTCAAAGTGCAAAGCGGGCGTCTTTTACGCAAATATTTGATGTGTATTTAAGCCTTCTTTGCGCCAGAGTGCACATTTCAATTATTACTTTGTTTGAGTGTGGTCTTAATTATTGTTCATAGTCCGTATTCAAATTATGTAGAAGAGATAGGAGATAAAGAGGGAGAATAAAACTAAATAAGGAAGGTATCAAACAACCCTAACACCGATTCCGAAGAGACCAAATATGCTAACAGATTCCAAAACCGGAACTCCAAAAACGACGAAAAAAAAAAGAAACATGATCTTCTCACCAGTTCCATGTCCGGCTGGACGCGGTAAAAACTGGAGGCTTCCACTGGAGACGAGCGGGATCGATCTTCCGCGATCCCTTGATCTTCTCTTTCTCTATGCGTTTCTTGTGTTCGTCGAGGGCGTAGTCGGTCAGAACGATGACCCAATTTCCTTTCTGTTGGGATTTAGTATTCTTTCCCAACCAGATATTGAGATGGGGGTAGAGGAGAAACATACATGGTACCGAAGCATGTTGAACACAACCAATGTCTCGTGAACGTCTTTCTCCGTCATCGACGTCACCAGCGCAAGTTCATTCTCACTAATTGACTCTCGATCCTCTTCCGTGAGAATCTCCACAAGCGTTTCTCGCCAATACTGCCGGTAACCCAATAGACCAAGATCACTCAGTGGTTTTTCAGGAGAACCGAGTTTGCCTTCTCGCTTGCTCAGCTCGTAGCTGAATGAGATGAGGAGTCGACCGAAACCGCGACGCTGGTACTGCGGGAGGGTCAGGATACAAGCCAAGTTGTAGCCCTCTGCGGAGTCCTTTTCCTTGGAGAAGTAGCCGACCAGTCGGCAGCCAGTTTCGTCGCGGGTGCACATGCAGTAGAATAAGAAGGGGTCGACATCGTAGTAGAGTGTTTTGTGGTCGAGGAATAGCTTGCTTAGGAGACAGAGGTTTCGGCACCAGGTTCGTTGGCGGCGGCCGTCGACTTCGAAGAAGGAGATGTAATCGTCGCGATAAATTTCGTTTCCTGGGGGGTGGACGAGGGTGCATTTTGCACGGTGTCGTTCGAAGGCGCGTTGGTTGTCGAAGTAGCTTAGACAGAACTCGTCGATATAGACCATGTCTGCGTCGGAGTATGAGGCTGGATATGGTGAGAAGTACCATGGCTCGATCTCGAACTTGCCCATTTGTAGTCTGTTCAGGTTACGGACGCGGTGGATCTCGGTTGGGTTTTGTGTCATGCTACCGCTTGTACGCAGCCTCTCAATCTCTTGTTCTCGGGACATAGACGCTTTCTGTTCCTCGGCCTTGGTATCAGAGAAGCCGACGTCTGTCATGTCGACATCATCGGGCTCTGTCTTAGGGAGTCCATCTGCTTCCGGTTGGATATCTTCCATGACATTTTCCTTCCCACCGGCCTTTGATGGTCGCTGTGGCTTGGAAATGTTCACGTTCTTACCTGTGAGGAGATCGGGAGCTGCTGAAATATCTCGGCTGTCGGTTCTGGCGCGCTTTTGCGGATTCTTGCTTGGTGCTTTGGTGGCTGCGCCGGTCTTCTTTTTCTCTGGTTTCTCTGGTTGTGGCCATTCGACTTCATGTGCTAGGTCGATTCTCGACGCGGCAATCCATTCTACACAGCCGTTAACTTGTACCGGTAAGTAAGCGTTTGGAATACTTACCATCCAGACGTTTGTTGAAGTCGACATAATGGACGCTGTAGTAGCCGTTAGCATGAGGCTCAGGCTTTAGCAACCGCATATAAAAACCTACTAGAAGGCCAGCCCATCCTTGCGTTGCTTAATCGACAAAATCTCTGCCTTCCGTAATTCACCATCCTTTACACCACTGTCAGCCATCATATGTACTTGACGAAGTAGATATAAAATCACGTGATATCATGTTGAAAGATTTGACGACGGAGAACTGAATAACGGACCTTCTGCACCATGGCCTTCACACCGATCCTACCAACCAGATTAGCATATGCGACCGGGAAACCAGGGGTTGATATTATATTGGTATGCTTTTCAATAGTTTTTGCGACTCACCTGATGGTATTAAGCGTGGCGAACCCCTTCTCGACGGGATCTGGCGTCCCCGTCGGTTCCCCATGGGAATCTCTAACGCCCATCGTGACTGGTGGTTCTTCTCTAAAAATCTAATAGATTTGTGAGATGAGGGAGAGTAAAATGGTGATGGGAGTTCTAGTCGTTAAGTCGCGATGGGGATGTTGTGGGGAGATGATGTTCTTCCGCGATAGAACCGCCCTTTTTCTAACTTGTTGCCGCTTTGGATCGTTATCCGGTTCGGGATGTTTTCAACCCTATTGAGTTAAAGAGATAGCTACGAGACCATGTGCAAAGATGAAGATTTTATGCGCGGCAGATAATACTTAGATTACTCGATGGCGCTAATATCATCGCGGAAATGTGGTAAATGTTTTGATTGTACACAAATGCAGTGAAGAAATAACCTGCAAGCAATCTGGTGATACAAGTCTTAAGAGAATAAAAAGATCCGAGGGAATAGAAATTAACATATTTCAAAACTCAGCCTGAAAACAGGTTCAATGCCATTCATTAGCCATTTGCTCCATTCCTGTAACAAGCTCATCAAGCTCGTCTTTCCGTGCCCTATACAATTCCTGAGCTTCACGCTCCCTTCTCAGGACGAACGCGACATCGTCCCGAAGCTTCTCAAGTCGCCTAAAAAGCGCTGCCTCTTCCGAGACCTGAAGAGTATTGAACGAATCGAGATCATTCTTGGACTTCTCCAAGGCTGCACTGGCTTCGATAATCTTGGTTCGAAGCGTCTTTGCACGGTTTTGATATCCACCATAGTGAAGGGCAAGCTTCTTTTCCAATTTATTGCCTAGTTCTGCGGTACTAAGCAAAGATGTCTGTACATTGTCGAATGCGCCGATCATGCGCTGCTCTTGCTGGAACACATCATCTTCCTCGTCATCCGCATAGTTGGAGAGGCCTGGGAGAGCGTTGTCATGTGACGATGACCAAGACGTTTCGAAGTTGTCTTGCCATTCCTCTTGTTTTTCTGATTGAGATGAAGTCAATTCAGCTGCAATGGCTGCGCGAGCGGAATCGAGTAACTGGTCGTCAAGACGCTGCAACTTCTTCGCCTTTCCTTCGATTTTAGCACCGGGGACAGGAAATTTGCGTGCGTCGTGAGCAATAAGAAGCGCGGCTTCTCTAGTAATAAGACCAGTGATAGTATCGGTAGCGTGCGAGGCCCGCTCCATCAGCGCATCGATGTCAAGAACACTTGGTCGTGGCAGTGCCCGCTGATAGACCTGGGATTGGCGTTTCAGCTCAGCTTGAGCGGCCTTCTCACGCGCCTCGTTTTGCCTTCTGTCACGCTCTGCTGCATCCTCTTCTGACACGAACTCTGCCGCACCGGTTGGTTCTGCCTGCTCCGAGGGAAGCTCTTCCAGTTCCCACTCTGTTTCCTTTGGCTTGGGCAGAGAAGCCAGTTTGCTGCGAATATCGGTACGCACAGACCTATCGTGCATTTTGATGTCTCTCGGTGTGGCGCCGATGAGCTGCCCACCGCCATCTTGGTTAAGGGCAAAGTGATCCCTAGGAGTTCGTAACGGTGTCGCCCCGGGGCCAGCTCTACCCCCAATTGGCGTGGCGCCGACGGCGTTCGCCTGCCGGAAGGGAGTTGCCATGGGATTAGGTGTGAAGATTTCCTGCTTTCGAGGGGCGATGCCATCAAACCCAGTAGAAGATCCTCCTTCATGGAGAGGGGTGTTCTCTCCACCAAGTAATGATGATTGTGTTTCAGTCAATGCTCTAATATTCCGAATCTCGTTCGCAATGTGGTCTTCCTCCGGAGGGGCCCGTGGTGTCCTGATCGGTGTTTGGCCAACGATGCTGGTGTAGTTTCCAAGCAAGCCCTTGGTAGTCTCTTCGTCCCCCGACATTTTAGTAGCTTTATCTCCGGCCATTCCCATCTTAATGATATCTTCCATCTCCCCTTCGCTGACCTGGGGAGCTGGCAGGTTGAGAACTCGTCTCTTACTGCTTTGCTCCGCCTCACGAATCTTCTGCATCTGACCAGCTCGAGCTGCCGCGGCGAAAGCGCTGGAATTGCTATTCTTGTCGCCTTTCCTTTTCTTTCGTTCCGCGTCTTCATCTTGGTCTCCCTTTCGCTTATTGGCGAGCTGCTGCTTGCGAGGATCAAACATCTCTCGTTGCCGCTCATTCTTGACATCTTCCTCGATGGTATCGTAAAACCCAGGCGCCGCCGGTTTCTCAAAAGGAATATCGGCGTTGTAATCCATCTCGCCTTTCTTGCGTGTGACAACTTTGATATTGATACCGGCATTCTTGAGTTCACGACGTTTCTGAAGCACTGCAAGTCTGCGGGATTCCTCGAGTTGTCGTTCTCTGGCCTTACGCTTCGCTTTCTTTCCCTGTGTGTTTGCCAGACGTGCACGCGCCTCACTCAGCATTTCCTTCTCATCTTCGTCAAGGTCAATCGTGTCGGGGCGAGCGGGCTTCGACTCGGGGTCAGGGTCGAGTTCGCCGGGTCTATACACATTTAGTAACCACAAAACCCCCCAAAGTAGAGATGTAATATTGTAAGCATACCTCAAGCGTCGGACTTCGTCTGCACTCGGTGCAGCCGCCTCTGCGCCAGATGGACCACCAAGACCCAGCTCATCGTTTTCACGAGCCTCAGCTTCATCCAACAGCTTCTGATACCGCTCTAGGCATTGTGTCGCCGTACGACCAACGATCGGTGCAATAGTTCGCCATTGTGTTGGCATCAATTTCGCTAGGTGCAGAAGCTTTTCATCCTCCTCTCTCGACCACTCAACCTTGCGGATACCGGGGTCCAGCCATTCAATCCATCGCGCTTTGCATTGTTTCGGTGTCTTTCGAGCTAGGAGGGACGAGACTCGCGCCCATTGGTTTAAACCGTATTTCGAAACCTATTGGAATAGCTTGTTAGCGTCTTGCCACGGACACAGGTTCGATCGCGTCTTGAGCGTGAACTTACCGCTGCACGTAGAACTTCATCTTCGATGTTCGTCCTGTTTATTTCCTGTGTTAGTCGGACAACCTTTATCGAATATGCGCATTTTAGCTCTTACCAGACGCCTCCTTTGACAACGGGCATGGCGCGCTATTATTTCCGGCACGACACCGTTCCACCCAAAAACCGAGAATTCAAAAATGCGCCGAGAAATAGAAAAATATGTAGGGACAGAGTGATCAAAGGCGAGGCGTTTTAACCTGTACAAAATGGCGTTGACAACGGATGAAGATGGAGCTGTTAAGCAACAAGTCTTGCGGCCGGCGTCGATAGCCGCGAAAGGCTTAGGCGCGCTAGCCGCATTAGTCCCCGCGGAACATTAGGTAAGCGGGTCCAGATTTTTGAATTATTTTCAATCCAGTGATTTCTTATCGCTCTACAAAGAAAGAACTTTGGCTCCAATTTGACATTGGAAAATTACAGGTAGAGTTTTAAAAATGTCTGCCTCCCTTGAAGCTCCCAAGCAATTCTCTCAGCCATCCCGTAAGGGCAAGAAGGCGTGGAGAAAAAATGTCGACATCACAGAGGTCCAGGAAGGGTTTCAATCGCTGAAAGATGAAGAAATCAAAGGGTAAGAATACAGCTTTTCTTTTGCGCTTTATAGACCGTTTTGATGCTGACCTCTTATTTGTGGTATAGTGGTCTGTTGACTGAAAAGCCTTCCGATGAATTGTTTGTTATCGATTCTAAGGGTTCATCGGATGTTCGCAAGGCAATCGAGAAGAAGCACAAACCTCTGAAGGCGGATGAAATCTTGTCGCAGCGCTCTGCCATCCCGGGAGTTGACACTCACAAGCGGCCGAACTCTATGGTTACAGACGGCGTCATCGAACCGAAATCGAAAAAACAAAAGAGCGACTGGGTCACTCGCAAGGACTGGTTACGCTTGAAGCAGGTCGCCAAGGATGCGACTCCTGCGCAGAAGAATGAGGGAGATGCTCTGTATGATCCCTGGGCAGATGAGGCCGACCCAACACCTGTTCAAGATCCCAAGTTCGATTACCTCGAGAAGCCGAAGCCAAAGGTTGCGCCTCCGACCATCAAGCAAGCGCCTATTTCTTTAGCTGCAAATGGAAAGCCAGTACCTGCTGTCCGCGCGCCTGGCGCTGGTGTCAGTTATAACCCATCATTCGAGGAGTGGGATCAGCTCCTGCAAAAGGAAGGAGAGAAGGAAGTCGAAGCAGAGAAGAAACGCCTAGAGGAAGAGCGCAAAGAGCAGGAGAAACAGCGTATGATTGAGGAAAGTAGGAACGACGATGGACAGGTAAAATCCGATGATGAGAGTGCGTGGGAGGGATTCGAAAGCGAGTATGAACAACCGGAATGGTTGAACAAGAAGCGCCCCGAGAGAAAGTCCAAGACACAAAGAAACAAGATCAACAGACGGAAAGAAGCCGAGAAGAAAGCTAAATGGGAAGCGCGGATGAAGGAAAAGGAAGAACAGGCTGCACGAGCGAAGGCAGTTGCCAACCAAATCATGGAACAAGAGGGTCAGCAACAGGATTCAGACGCCGATTCTTCCGAGGAAGGAGATGATACCATCTTGCGACGGAGACCTTTGGGGAAGACACCGTATGTTTCTTTCTTATTATCGTTTATGCATGCCTTACATATACTAACTTTACGTTCCCAGTGTCCCCGAGAAACCACTTGAAGTGGTTCTTCCAGATGAACTCCAGGATTCGTTGCGCAAGCTCAAACCCGAAGGCAATCTGTTGGATGACCGGTTCAGGACATTGATCATTCAAGGAAAGTTAGAGTCTCGCAAGCCCGTCAGCCAGCCCAAGAAGGCCAAGAGAAAGGTGACGGAGAAATGGGGTTACAAGGACTTCAAGGTCCCAGGCACGTCATAATTTCTTCTTCCTGTTGTTCATTCTTAATAAGAAGCGCGTTTGGTATATGTTATGGTTATCTGGATATAGAAAAGTTCAATGTATACCAATTGTTAACTGTCTTGCAACTCATATATGTGATATTATCTTTAGCACAGCAGATATCATATAGTAATAAACTCATAGAGCACAGATTCTCAAATATTCATTCTACATCAAACCCTGATCTCTTGTTGTCCAGTTGATGCGACTTTCCTGTTCGAGACCCCAAGTGGGTCTGCCGCCAAATTTTCCTAACTAGCGTTTATCAGTCGATTCTCCGACCGAATCTTTTTGCGACGCTCTCAACGTCCGGCTTCTGCGCCCAACCTTCTCTCTTTTATCACAGAATCAGAATGCTCTGATAACCCGGATATCATTGGAATGGACTTGAAAAGCCTTTCAAGCAATTGGAAGAAACTCCAGGGGACGTTGCAAAAAAAAGATAACGTTTCCACCTCCGCCCCGAAACGCAAACCCTCCGAACGCGAGTCCGAGAATGGTGCTGTGAGGAAGAGAAAAAGGGAAGATAAACCAGAGACCAAGAAATCAGATCGCCCTACTCATTTAACAAAAAAGAAGAGAATGTCAGAAGGAGGGGAAACTCGTGGAACTTCAGATTCGGCAGCGAAGCCGAAGTCGCGGAGGAATTCTACAGCAACAGGAACGGCGCCGGAAACGAAAGACTTGCCAAAGGCCAAGGTCAATGAAGGTCGGTCTCCAAGGTTAGTCATGCTTTTAAGACCTTCTATTGTGAATGCGCCGACATTTCTAACATCTTACAGCGCTGAACTAGGCAACTATGTAGCCATCGATTGTGAAATGGTGGGCGTTGGCCCGAACCCCGACCACGATTCCGCTCTCGCGCGTGTCAGTATTGTCAATTTCCACGGCGAACAAGTTTACGACTCATTTGTGAGACCCAAGGAGATGGTGACGGATTGGCGGACATACGTTAGCGGGATATTGCCCAAGCACATGGTGGAGGCTCGATCATTCGAACAAGCCCAGAAGGACGTTTCAGATATTCTCGAAGGACGAGTGTTGGTGGGACATGCAGTTGGCAACGACTTGGATGCGCTGCTACTCGGCCATCCTAAGCGCGACATCAGAGATACAAGCAAGTACCCTCCATACCGCAAGATCGCTGGTGGTGGCTCTCCTCGATTGAAGGTGCTAGCTTCGGAGTATCTCGGGTTGAACATTCAAACGGGATCACATTCTAGTGTGGAGGATGCGCGAGCTACGATGATGCTGTATCGACGGGAGAAGAAGGGGTTCGAGGCGGAGCATTTGAAGAAATGGCCAGTTCGCGTTATCGTAGAGAAGCAGGATATTGGGGAAGGGGAAGACCAGAAGAAGAAGAAGAAAAAGAAGAAGAAGACCCGTAAGAGGTGATTGGGACTTGCTATGTTAAATTCATAATTGTTATACCCCGGATCTATACTGACTGCACTTGACGGTTTACTCAAATATCAGATTTGTAGATAAATGTGGATACTATACTTATACAACTGTATTGTTTTGTGGTAAACTATTCGAAGACACCATCCATGGTGATATACTTGTATCGACCCCGATGCGGAACTACTTAACGCGGTTAACGTGCACGCGTCTTCCCCGGCCTTGAACCAGAGATCTCTGACAACCACGCAGAAATCACTTCAACCTGGGAATATACAAATCTTGACGGATCGCACATTTGCTTCCGATAATCCGTGAATAATCCTTTAATTTTGCATACATCCAACCACGTCTTCGGAAACCTCTGCGAAAATACTCTTCCCCTCCCGAATCAAATACAACCATGTTTGCCATCCGCGCCCCTCAAAAGCAATCAAACGGCCCGAAAACCGAAAGCTCGACAGAATGTTACACCCCGAATATCCTCCCCTGCCGTATTCACTACGACGGACCGGTGGACTCTCTCCAACGTTACTGGGCCCCGACAGCCGACAATGAAGGTAGCTAACCTTCCACCCACATGAAAAACCGTCAACTGACAACACACGTAGACGGAAACCTACAAACATCCCACTTCCGCGGACGCAAACTACGCGGTAGACGTGTCGCGATCCCCGAAGGCTACCAAGGCGTGGTAGCAATGCCAACAGAGCGTGTCCTTCCTTCGCAAACGAACAACAGTGGTATGGTAAACGATGCTCAGATGGAGCTGGAAGAGCCGGTCAAGGTTCTTGAGAAGCAGGGCACTTTTGATGAATTCGTGGTATGGAAGCATGATGAAGTGCCGGGTGTTGATGATGTTTATGTGAAGGGCGTTGAAGAGTGGTTGAAATTGGCTGAGGTGGTATGAGTATCCCTCCTCTGTCTGAGGACAGCTCCCGAGTTAACTGTTCTACTTAGATGCATTCGAGCGAACCGTCGACCGAGGAGTCTCAGAAGACAGTGCCTACTTAGCTGTGGTCCAATGACTATGGCGGGCATACCTGCCCTACAAATTGACGAGTTACGGCTAAGCTAGAGTGTTATATTTATATATGTTTGACGAGACACATCGGAAGCGGGCCATTTCCACCTCAACGAAGACTCCATCTACAGCAGCGCCTTTCTATTCACCACCTGGTATACTTCTAGTAGGAACCGGCATCGTGCCGGGAACTGGTTGTTGGCTGGTTTGTGGGAGTGAGGACGGAATATTTCACGCCAATATGCTCATACCTACTTACTATTTCCTGTATAAGCCAAGGATCTTCCTCGTTATGTCGGAGCCATCTCGCCAATGCGCATGCGGAGTACAGGCCCACTCCATGCAATTGACCCTAGCAGGTGTATGATTCCGACTGTAGTTGCCATATAGCATACAGTTTACAATTGATATCTTTGGTCTTTTGAGCCAAGAAACAGAAGAGCAAAAAAAAAAAAAAAAAAGGACAGAAGAAAAAGCCGTTATCTGATAAGTATCTGACCGCCCAATTCTGCCAAAGAGGGACGAGACATCTTAGAATTAATCTCGACGAGCACATCGACAAGTGACAGGCATTGGCTGCTATATTCGTAGCTTCGCTCACCATGGCTGCCAATTCTGAAAAGATTTCCCCGGAGGTGCTAATCCCGAATTTCAGGATCGAAAGGCTCCTAAAACAAGGTCCGAACAACATCCCACCTGAACACAGGATATCGATATCCGAGCAGGACATCTAGCTAACACCATCTACAGACCAAAATGGTCGTCGCATCGCAATGCTCGGCTCCATCGACGGCCAACAAGGGATTCTTATGGCTGAACGAACAGCCTTCGCAACCGAATCCCTCCAAGTCCTAAAAGCCTTCCACGCCGCGATCCAACGAGTAAACAACCTAGGTGACAACGACATTTACAGATGGTACCTCGCATCCTCCGGTGTTGATACCAAATGCCAAGACCAGAGTAATGCAAGCGACCTCAAACTCAACCTCATCTGGCCCTGCACAGTGCAGCATATCAAGAAATACTCGGACCAAATCCTCCGCATGGTAACCGAGACACCGGAGATCTACCACAACCACATCCGTCCCTACATGCAAGCAAAGAAAGAAGGTGGAAGCTTGAACTGGGTATATAACATTCTCGAAGGCCGCACCGAGCAAGAAGACGTCATCTTCCGGGATCCCGGGCAACATGGTCAAGATGAGGGCTTCCTGATGCTGCCGGATCTCAACTGGGATCGAAAGAGTAAGGGGTCGCTGCATCTGCTTGCGTTGGTCAATCGGAGGGATATCTTGAGTTTGCGGGATTTGTCGAAAAGGCATCTTCCGTGGTTAAGGTATGTGCGGAAGCGGATTCTCGAGGAGACAGTTAGGATGTATTCGGAGCTGGAGGAGGATCAGTTAAAGCTTTACATTCATTGTAAGTGTCCAACTATCTTTCCATTGCGTAAAGATTTGAGCTAATTGATGCTACAGACCAACCGACTTATTACCACTTCCATATCCATGTTGTCAATGTGATGCTGGAAGCCGGTGCCACGCAGGCTACAGGGAAGGCATTCGGGTTGGAGAATATCATTTCTCAGTTGGAGACCATGTCCGGTGATGAGAACGCGAGTATGGCAGATGTCAGCTTGTCATACTTTGTCGGCGAGGCAGGTGAATTGTGGACGAGCATTTTCGGACCGCTTAAGCAGGGACAGAAGCCTGCTATTGGAAACTAATGCTTAGCAGCTGCGGTACGATAGCATGAATCATGATGTGACAAAAGTACTGCTCCATTGAACAGTAAGACATGGGGTTAAAGGAAGATTAAAAAAAAAAAAAAAAAAAAAAAAAAAAAAAAAAAAAAAA